ACTTTTTTTATAAAGAGCAATTTTAGGATCTAGAAAACTTAACTGTTTAAAAAATTTATTGTTATAAGGTAGACGCTTTAGCATTTCTCGAACTGCCGTAACATAGAAGTCCAAACATTTTAATTTAATTTCTTGCGCGCATTCCAAAGATAATGTTTCTAAAAAACTATCACATTCCGGTCCTATACGTATGTTATCTATATGTTGTACATTATTATCTAAATCTGAAATTGAAATATTTTCTAAATTGTACTTTAAAAAATTGTCGGCTAATTGACGAATTACTTGTTGTTACAAAAATCCTTTGCTGCGACCAAACTGGCTAATATTTATTTAACAAGCACAACGCGTTTCAACCGAGATTCCGGTCCTTCTCAAGTGCGTACAATAAATTAACGCTTGCAAAACACTTCATTATACACAATGTGGCAGCAATAAGTCTACGAACTAAAATACAAAAAAAGTAAAATAATAAATTAACAAACTAAAACTGCCGGCACTTCCTGAGTTTACTCTTCGTACGTCATTTTAGTTTGTTAATTTATTATTTTACTTTTTTTGTATTTTAGTTCGTAGACTTATTGCTGCCACATTGTGTATAATGAAGTGTTTTGCAAGCGTTAATTTATTGTACGCACTTGAGAAGGACCGGAATCTCGGTTGAAACGCGTTGTGCTTGTTAAATAAATATTAGCCAGTTTGGTCGCAGCAAAGGATATAGTAATTTCACTACTCACTGGCGAAGTAAAAGTATTTGAATTACTTGTTGACTGCTTTCGTATAATTTATGGATTAAAATGTTACGCGATTGAAATAGTGCGTTAAAATTATTAAAATAATTTAATGCGTATTTGAGAAACAACAAATATGCTTTAATGGAATTATCATTTAAATATTGTAATATATTTTCCGCGGATTTTAATTTATCTTCTACTGTTGCTAACAAAAAATAACTTTTCAAGACTTCCCAATTTTCTAAGAGTCTAACAACGCACTTTTGTAAACAAAGCCATCTAGTTTCTGACAATTTTAATATTTTTTTTCGTTTAATTTGAAAAAAATCTTGGAATTCACCCAATATTGCACATCTCTTCGCACTGCCCGAAATATAAGTGGCAACTTCTCTAATCAAATTTTCACAAGAAGAAGGTAACTTTTTGCAAGCTTTACTGGCTACAATCGCGGATGAATGGCAAATACAATTCAGTGTTACTAAATTTGGAACTTCTTCTTTAAGACAACTCATAAAAGAATTTTTGCGTCCAATCTGACGCATTATCGGATGCCATTCCAACAATATTTTTTATAGGTATATGTTTTTCTTCTAAGCATTTTTTAAATTCTTCAAAAATTTTATTCGCGGAACAATCTCTTGCATCTAAAGATAATAATTCTAATAATTGAGTTGTAATTTTTTTATTCGAAGGTGATACATATCGAACAAGAAGGCACATTAATTTAGTATCTGAGATATCCGTACTCTCATCTATTAGAATAGAAAATTTACAAGTTTTTAAATGGTTTACTACTGTCTCAATTTCCCGTTTTGCAGTGACATTTTTAACAATATTTGCGCACTTATTTCGAGCTAGTGAAAAATCTTGCAGAACTTTGGGATCTTTAAAAATGTCTTTTAGCAAAGGTGATAAATGATCCGCGCATTAAAAGGCTATATTATGCTCGGAAAAAAAGTTGCTAATTTAATTTCTGCGCGTTTGACGTTATCTTTATGTGACAAACTATTTTCGGTATCAATATTATCAGCAGTCTTATAATTACAAGATTTTATGTTCTCGATATGTCTGACCGTTTGTGAATGTTCAACTAAATTTGTTCTGCAACATCTGATAGTTTTATTGCATGCAATACAAAGCGCTTTATTTTCTGCAGAATGAGGAGCTAACCATCCTTTAAAGATATTTTCATCTAGCCAAGCATTTTGAAATTCTCTACTTCTACGTTCTTAATAGCTCCTTGACCAACAGAATCCATCATGCAGCATGCACAAATATATAAATAAGTGTTATACTTACTAACTTACCTTGTGTAGGTTACATATCTAACCTCTAACTTCCTTCGATGAACCCGTCACTTTCGCTCCAAGACCCGAGACTTTTGCGCCCAACGGTCGCATTATAGACAGGGTGCGTTCGGGAAGACGCTATTAGCGCTATTTAGCGCTATAAGCTGTTCGCGAAACTAGATGGTAGCGCAGCAAACGCTACTATGACGTCACTCATGGTAGCGTTATACGTCATAACTGAGCGCTATCAACGTTATTCCTTCCGAGGTAGTGTATTGGTAGTGTTAGCATTTGCAAGGTTCGTGAACGCTCAGAACGCCCATGTATTGCACATGTTTGTCGAACCTAACCACCAAACTACCGGTCGAAGAAAAATAAGGAAGAAGAAGGTGCCAGTAATACACACATTTATAATGGATAATCCCGAGTATCCCGACAATTCCGTGGAAGTAAATCTTCAGGATGTTATAACTGGAGAAGAATTTACATTACAACTCTCACCGAACAGTGCTTTGAAAGCAAAAACCGGTAAGTTTCTTTTACGTAATTGTAAATAATATTGTATAAAGTTATATATAAACAATTTTTTAACGGATTTCTGCTTGCAATAATTTCACATTTATTTATGTATAATAATGCAACTAATTTAATATGGTTTTGGCTTTTATCACATTAATGATTTAATTTTGAAATGCCTTCTCTTTATCTTTTTTGCATTAATTTCCTGTGGACCTATTCTGTAACATATTTTAATGAGTCACAATTTTTGTGTAGAAAAAATGTATCGCACAATAGTTGCACAATGAACAGTAACGATGACGATTATTATTATAAGTTACAGAATAAGGGAGATTCTCTTTGAATATATTTTAAATAATCTTTTTGTTTTAATGTTATTGTTACTTGATTACCTACAGATTTGAGTTTTGCGACACTTTTACTAAATGTTGCACGTCAAGCATGTGTTCAAAACAGTGCATGTGAGGATAAGAATTGTTCTACAATCGGTAATAATATATGGTTTATGTTAACTGCTTAATGCCTATATGAAACAATTAGTGCAAAATAGATCATTTCTATTTAAAAAAATTATTTCTTAGAAGCATCTGAACATGTGCAGTCCACCTCCTCAAGTAATACTTCATTGAAGGAAGTATTTGGTATGTAATTTAGTTTTGCGTCTCTTTTACATTGTAAGGTAATTTTTTTAAATTAATTATATGCATTGTTTTTGTAGATAATATGGACATGTCAACTAATGAAGAAAGAGAAATGGAAGAGGATGAGATAGAAGAGACGTCATTGACGGAAAATAAAGAAAGTAAGGAAATTTGACAATATGGATTGTAATTTTTTAAAAATGTTATTACTTTACATTGTAATGTTTGGTTTACATTGCAGATTTCAGATGGTCTCATGCGGCAATTATGCTGTTATTGGAAGAATACAGACTGCGAGAATCTTCCATGTCTTCTGGAAAAATGAGTCATAAGAAAGCATGGGATGAAATTGCGCGAGTAATGAATGTTAAAGGATATGATGTCTCGGGTAAACAATGCATGACAAGGATTAATACAATGAAGCAAACATATAAAACGGTCAAAGATCATAACGGAAGATCTGGTAACAATAAGCGCACTTGGAAATATTACGACGTAAGTGTTACTTGATTTATTACAATAAATATTAACTTTTGCTTTACCTAACTATTACGCACATACGCGTTTATTACTCTTAATGCAATATTGGCTGTTTAGGCCATGGAAAGTCTTCTTGGCCGAAAACCATATATGGAACCGTTGACAACCATTTCGTCAAGTGGATCTGTAACATCGAGGCCTGAAAGGCCGGACTCTCGAGGTAGTAGCAGCAGTAGTATCTCTACCTGTGAATCCGGTGAAGCTCCTCGTAAGAGACTATTACTCATTGAAAATTGAATATTGAATTAATGTTGATTTATAGGCCGTAACCGTTGATTTAATCTGTAAGCCCTAAAAAATTTTCTAATCAGTCGATTATTCTCCTCACATTAGACTGTGATTGGTCAATTTCTTAGAGCTTACAGTTTAATTAATGGTTACAGCCTTTATAAATCAGCCTTTAGACATTACAGTGAAATATAAAAAATTTTTACTTTTAGGTAAACGTAAAGCCACTGATCAACCAGCCATCATACAAACGCTAATAGAAAAGCGCCAAAAAGTTGAGGAAGAAAAAGCAAAGAGACACAAAGAAAGGATGGAAATGGGAAACAAAATGTTGGCAAAACTGGATAAACTTCTAGAGAAGAAGTAAATACCTCAATGTTACAGAACCAGTTGCACAGTTTGGAAAAGTGCAATTACATAGTACAAAAGTTTGGTTGTTATTTGGAATATTAATATATATTCTATTATATATTATTTTATATTACACGCACGTTTATTTTATTATTAATATATTCTCTCTTGCGTTATATTGAGCAAAATGTAAGTGGTAACTATAATTTCATTTATTAACATTAAATAGTATATAAAGTAGGTATATAAGATGGGTATATAGAAGATTACAAGATTAAAAGATAAAAGATGGAGAGATAATGATTAAACCAAAGATTACATTATAATTTTTTAAGGTTTTTAGTTTGTATACAATAAATATTAACCGATTGCATAGTAAATTGTAGTTTTTTATTTCAAATAAATGAATATGTACCAATTATACATTTCTTAGTCGTAATCTCTGAGCTATTAGATCTCGCTTTGCAGCACCTCGCTTTGCATAAGCAGCATCACGCATATTTTCATTATTGGCCATCACACAATCTATCACATCTACATCCTCAATCACTTCTATATTAAAATCATCATTTTTCATTAGACACACATTATGTAAAACACAACAGGCAAGAATATGCAGTGGAATTAAGTCTACTCTATCCATTGCAAGTGTTGTAAGAAGACTTCAAAAACGTCCCTTTAATAGTCCGAAAGCTCTTTCAATAGCAATTCTCGCAGAAGCGTGACAAAAGTTATAATTTCGTTGACGTTGTGTCATATGGCCATTGTCTCGATACGGTATTAGCAAATTTATAGGCTAGATCTCCAACTAAGTGACAATCTTGTGGAAACTTTGACACATCTCCAAGATAGGATTGTACTTCCGACAGACGAAACACTCGTTGATCATGTACCGACCCCACATGTCCAACATAACAGTGGATAAATTGGCAAGTGTGGTCACAAATAGCCTGCAACAAAAGACATACAAACCAATATAGATTACATAAAATTGGCATGAAAAGAATTAACATTGGAATTCCCGCTAAAATTATTGAAGTAGAAAATATTTTACCTGAAGTTGGATTGAGTGATGACTTTTGCGATTGACATATGCTGCTGGATCATCTTTAGGAGCTGGAATATTGATGTGCGTGCCATCAATAGCACCAATGACTTTAGGGAATCCACTATTAGCTTCAAATCCTGCCCACACTTGACCAACTCGTTCATTTGTAGGCCATTTAATTACAGTAGGTGCCAGCTCAATAAGTGCATTTATAACACGTCTTGTTATATATAATGCAGTACTTCTACCGACATTAAATCGATCGGAAATCGACCTGAAGATTAAAACAAAAATATATAACAGTTGTTTTCTAGTTAAGGCTCCTAGGGTTTCGCCGCCGTCATGTGAGATCATGACGTCAAAGGCGGAAATGACACGCTGAGAATTCTTGCGTGCCATTTCCAAATAAAATAACATACTTCAAATTACTTCAGCACACTTTAAAAATACTCCGAGAACTATCCCTTTCTCTTCATGTAATAAATGTAATACGAAACCGTGCGCCGGCGCATAAGCACTCATATTACATTCATTTTATGACTGTTTTTTAACTGTCAATGGAAAGGGATAGTTCTCGGGAGTATTTTTGGTATGTGCTGAAGTGATCTGAAGTATTATGTTATCTTTTTATTTGGAAATGGCACGCAAGAATTTTCAGCGTGTTATTTCTCGTCCCTGACGTCACGATCTTACATGATGACGGCGAGAGCCCAGGAGTCTTAATGACACAAATCAACATAAGCATCTCTGTTTATGTTGCCAACATGTCAAACAAAGAAAGATTGATGCTTGTGTTGACTGATATCACTGACCATGTTCAACAAAACTGTGAACTTATTCATTACCTTAAAGAATCTGGAGTAGCTAATCGCCACAACGCCAACAAACACTGTTTGCGTGGAGAAATCATAGGTGCTCCCTCTGTTTTCTCTCTTAGTAGTATTGGCTCAATAATAGACAGAAGATACTCGAAGGTTCCAGGAAGCATCCTAAATCATGTATTAGTTATTGTTTATCAGTTAGATATTGCATTCTGTATTCAAATCTGTACTAAACTGTTTACCATAGACTTTTTGATAGAGAAATATTTTTA